GAGGAGATCCTGTTGCTGCGCACCTTAGCTCTGATCATCCGAAGCAAGAAAAAAGATAATGCGTCTGTTCATCTGTTCTCTCACATGTCGGAAGCAAAGGGCGCTCTTGTCATCGCTTTTACAGTATATAGATGATTAAAAACTGCATGCAGTCCCAACATCACACTCTGACATACGAATGTGATCAGAGAGTTGATTCAAGGATATCTACCAGTTGGGTTTTGACCATGGCGCTTTGACTGTGGCACGCATGTCTGGTTGCCGCAATCCACGTGGTCCGACGGGCAGCCTGCCATCTTGCTCCGCACGGCCCGCACGGTGACGTTCACTTCACCCAAAGGGCCTCTCAAAAAGCGCTCACAGCGACACTAGCTTGCAACCTTGGCACCTCTTAAAACTTATCTAAACCTAAGAGTGGTGTGGGGGTAGGTTTTCATTATGTATATGGTCGTGGTGTGCGGTGGGTATGTACCCGTGTGTACGCGTAGCGTGTGCGGTGTGTGCGTGCGGTGTATGCGGTGCGCGCGCGCGGGGAATGCGGTGTGCGCGTGCGGTGTGTGCGGTGTACACGTGCGGTGTGCGCGGTGTGTGCGTGCGGTGTGTGCGTGCGGTGTGTGCGGTGTCTACTGTGCGTGCGTGCGGTGTGTGTGTGTGTTGCGGTGTTTGCAGTGTGTGTGAGGTGTGGGCGGGCGGTGTGTGTGTGTGTGTGCTTTGCGATTTGCGATTTGAAGCTGTGAGATACAGAGACTTTAGTGAGGCCGGGGCGCTGGATGCTATGGCTCAAATAGAAGGGGGCCACTGTTTTTGGATTGAAGTTGGAGGCAGAACAACTTCAGAACAACCTATGTAAACTACAATAATATCTGATAACTAGACTCGACCTGTGCCACCCAGCGCACGGCACAGAATGGCCATGGTGTAAACAACCAAGTGTCAATAAGATCAGGACATGCAAAAATAGCAAAAAGACTTTTCAGACATGCAAAAATAGCTATGTCTCGCCATGGTGGCTCGACAGCAAAATCGTTTCAGGAACAAGTTCCTGAAGAAATGTTGGGGCCTAAATTTAATTGACACTTGAAAATTGAACAGTTGAAGTTGGACGTTGAGATTTGATGACTGGCCCAACGTCCTTTCATTTTGGGGTTGGTTAGGCCGAGAGCTGGTTGCTGTGAAGAAGGTGACAAAGGCAAAAGACTCTGGAGAAAGGCACGCTTCGATGAGAACACATAGCGAAGCTTTCTAGAGCATGAACACACATTACCCGGGTGGTCCAAGGATTCTTCTTCCAGTGTTGACCTTGCTAGGTGGGCAGCCAATGAATACATCAATAAGCACGCAGTGAGGAAAGCTGATGTGGCCAAAGCTGAGGGACAGCGGAAGGTTCCTGGCAAAGGCCGTTACAAAACGTGGGATTCTCGAATGATGCTGAGAGCATCGTTTCTTCGCTTGAATAACCTAAATAGTTTAAATTTTAAACGCAGGACTCATGACTCTACTACTTAATGACTACACAACTTACACGACTAAAGTGATTAAAGGCTTAGGTTTGAGCCGCAAGCAACAACCAACTACTACTGCAATAATCGAAAAATAGAGATGGCGAAAGCTTAGGCTTGGCCGTGGTTGCAGTGCGAGTGGTATTGGCAGCAAATTTCCACGATCACAGGAGAAGGTTCCATGTATGTTTTCCCTGGGCAGCTTAGCCTATTGGACATCGACAAGCACAACTCACATAGCCAAGGCTATACCTGTTGGCAAAATGTTGTTTGTTTTTTCGTTGCAAGTTAAGTCTAGAGTCTAGAGTCTAGAGTTTAGGTATTATCCTGTTGTTTGCAAGACAGTAGGCCTGTCAGAATAACCTGAAGCAACACCAACATTAGGTTCCATTGACATGGTCAGTTTTCAATAGTGGAGCAAGCGTAAGACTATTTTCCTGTGTATAGTAAATAGGACATATGGATCTCTATGTATGTATGTTCTATGATTCTACGCATATAATATTATCTATATACTACATTCCAGCCTGTCAAGGTACGAGCCTCTGTGGCAGAATCCTATGCGGAGAGAGTGGTGGAAGCACTTCAGAGGATTCAAGAGGTTCTGCACTTGGAGTGCTGCTTTCAGTGTCGAACGAGGCAGAACATGCACTGAACTCAACTCAACTAAAGCGGCATATCGATGAGCTGCATATTTATACGTAAAAACAACTTGAAACATGAATCACACCCTGTGCAGTAGCTTGCCAGAAGCTCCAAGGCCAAACCATTCATTTCCAGCGTGATGATCGAATTCGATTCCTCCAGCGTCAAGATGAGGGCTAAATTAAAATCAGTGCTGCCTGGAGTTGTGTCAATGGAAGCAGATGCGAAGTTCCATTGCCTTGCAACTGTTCCAACTTAAACTCAAACATACTCAAACATCAGTAATTTTCGTCGGCCGTGTGTTCACTGTGTTCACCTGAACTGCTGGAGTGTTCACTTTAAAGTTTAAAGCACAGCACTGCCACCTAAGGTACAGCGGTTGAGCTTGAATACTCTCAAGTCAAACGATGAAGATGCATCATGGTCGTGACTTGTCTGCCTACAGTGTACAGAGTGTTATGCAAACAGGACCTTTGTCAAAGCATGAGAACTGTAAACTTTACACTGTACACTGTATATATAGACTGTAGAGTCCATAGCTGTGATTACGTTTTTGTATGTGAGCCAAGTCACGCCGGAATTCCTATGGTGCCATCCATTTTGGAAAGTGAGAAGGCAGAGGATATTTGGAGCGCGCTCATGCAAAGACATCCTGTGGAATTGCTCAGCGTCTAGATTCAAGGTTCTAGTTTTGTTCAGTACTAGTTGTGCTGTGTAGTTCTTCTACTCAAACACAACTAGCGATTGAATTGAATCTAGCAGCTTCCATGAGGTTGGTGCAGCTCATCGTCGATTTGCTTGCTGAACTTCGTTTCCGATGGAGCATATGCCAACTTACGTGTTTACAACGCATTTGTAACACCTATGGTGCAGCAGCGTGAAAACATACTTTCACTGCAAAAGATTTGTGACATGCAGCTTGCAACTCAAGCTAGGCAAAGTTGTTAGTTTTGTGCTTTGCTGAATTAGCCAAAGCCAATAGCCATATAGTGTCTATTGTGAGTTGTGAGTCATGAATGAGGCACAATGTGAACAACAGCGCAGAGCCTTTGTGGAAAGCCATGAAGTTGCTTCCTCCCATGTTCCTTATCTCAAAGCAAGACCCTGCACTTGTGTTCAGTTCAGATTACAAAAGGTCTCGTCTCATGTTGTAGCTTAGCTCTGATTTAACTGCTTTGTCACATGGTGGGTGAGAACAGATTGACAACTTGACCGTTTAGTGATCTGAAATAGAATAGAGTGCAATTAGCGATACTTGTCTTCATATAACAGCTTCAGCAGCTTTATTTCTAAGGTTCTATGGGGTTGGCTGGATGTCGAATGGGTCAAACTACCTGGGATTGCTACGCGCGGCTCAAGAATGGATTTTGCGTCCTGACACCGTCCGTGTTATTTTCAGCGAGGCGTGTCCAGGCTGCATTTGAGAATGCTGGCCAGCTAAATGCCTGGCCATGATGCATCAGCGATATCAAGCGCATTTCTTGTTTCTCACCAATTCTTACCACAACCACCAATGACCTGACTATGAAGGAACATAGGGGTGGACACAATGCTAGGCCGTTTTGGCTCAAGAATTTTGTGTTGCTAGTTGCTGCTTTCAACTTTCAACAGGTTACTTGGCAATGGTGCGGGGGGCCAATGGTGCACATTCTTGGTTGCAGCAAAAGACGGAAGATTGATCCATCGCAAGCTGAAACTATGCCTGTACTTCCAGTTGACCTTCCCCTTCCAGACCCTGAAGATGGGACATCTGGTAGTGAGAGTATTTCACTTTCAGAAAATTCCTTTCACGAAGCATGGACAGATGACAGCACAAGTGCTTCGTCAGTACACCAAGTGTGGGGAATACCCCCCGGCTTTGTTGGGGAGGCCAACGCACCAACCCCTGAGGGGCGAAGCTCATCTGTGTCCATGTGTCCTGGCATGTTGTATATATTGAAGTTTATTTGGCCAGCCACTGGCCACTCTGTTTTGTTAGTTAGTTTGTTTTGGGATAGGCTGATAGGCCATTGAACTGCTCTAGCGCAGAGCAAAAGCAAACTAAGGGAATCAACTTCATCCGATGTCGTTGATGATGATCATGTTGATGGAATGCTTGAAGAAGATCTACCATCACCCTTTACACCAATAGGTCCGGCGCCAGCATCACCTGATCCGGCGACAACGGTAACAGCTGGGCCGGTGCCCTCTATGCCAACGCCCGGGACACCAGAAGGGTCGCCACCAGCAACACCTGAGCCAACCGCGCAGCCTGCGAATTCGGAAGGAGTTTTTGCTCCTGCAACACCTCCGGGG